CCGACCTGCAAGAGACTAAACGAGAGGAACCTGATTGACTTACTTGTTACCTTTTTTGGGAGAACGAACAACTGGAATATAACTTATTTTGAACCTGACTTTTGATACTATTTACAAACGACTATTTATTTATACTTTATTGTTTTCTATTTACTACACTTTCCCGACTGCTACCAGTGTGCCGTGTCAATATCAGAAAGTTGATGAGTTAGCTCGAAAACTACCAGCATTGGTCAGATGGCGGAGTGGTTAACGCGGCAGACTCAAGTTCTGCTCACGAAAGTGGCGTGGGTTCGAATCCCACTCTGATCAATTTTTTTATATTTCTGAAGAGAACGAGCTAGATTATTTTCTGTGGCGAATGCCAACATGGTCATTTGAAGTACTTTTGTCGAATTGTAGAATAATAAACTTTTTAATATCACCTTTGAAATCGATTGCGGTCACTAATTTACTGTGTCTATAGATCAGCCAGTTGTTCTTTTTATGGACTATGCTTCTGGTTGGTACTTTTCACTTGATTATTAAAAGCAGTCTCAAAATGTTAATTGAAGACTAGACACTGAGTGGAGCCTTAGACCACTCGGCCATCCAAGCTGCTTTTTGAGCTAACTCTCAGACTTTTTCATGTTTGGATCCTGCTTGGCACGTATGTAAATAAAAGTCAATGCTACCTGTGATAATATTGCGCCTGCTTAGAAACAGCGCCCCCTTCAACATCTAGCTTTGAGTGACGCTTCTACTTTCTCAAGGACTATATAGAGAAAGCAGATTGTATCTGAGCATAGGTAATCTATTGTATTTTCTTTGGAGATATTCCACATTAATGCCAATGCTTAAAAATTGTGTCAATAAAGTGGCACCCTGTCTTTTTTGTTCTAGTAGAGCATGGCATCCACACTTCTTTGTTATTCAATAGGTACACGCTTTTCAGCATTCCATTTCCTTTATTATTAGTTTATACTTTCAAACTTATAACTGTATTATATACCAACAAGTCACAATCAATTGCACAATTATTTTTGATAGTTGCTTGACATGGCACCACCAGATGGCCATGTCCTAACTGGAGGATCTGGACACTAAGCCCTTGTAGCCGCTAGGCCTAGAGACCATCAAGCCCCACAGCTGGAGAAATTTAGTGTTTTCAGCACGCTGTCCAGCGGCAAGCATATTTTAAAGAGTTGCTACTCCATATCATGGGCGAGATTCCCTGTACACATGCTATTGTGCTTACAACATCCTTAAAGGAACATCAATAATCGAATGGCTCAACACCAGTATACAGGCCATCACAGACCTGACAATAGTTGTGATTAAACCAAGTTCTAACATAGGCATTATTGCCATCTCTAGAGACAAAGAGAGTCAAGCACATCTGTGCAGGAAGATTTCTTTAGCTAATTTTTGGCGTATCTTTTTATTATATTCTACAACGTCCAAGTCACTAAAAAGATACCAACATTGGAGCTATCATGGTAAAAAAAAATGGATATTGTTTATTGAAACTAGTTCGTATATTATCATACAAAAGACTGTTGAAAAAAGTACTAGCTACAAGTTATTTCGTAAGAAGGAAGGCCATGGGGCAGCATATTGGGCAATGAGTTAAAAAGTGAATAGGGCACGAAAATCGGCAAACCCACCTTGGAAACAAAGAGGGGTAAGCTACCTTGCCTATCTTTAAACTGGTTTACCACTAAAAGTTAAAAGTGCGATATGCCTTGATACGACTTGCCGTTTTAATGAACTCCCCATCTCCAAGTATGTCAGCCAAGACGACTGTCTTGCACGATGAGTCGCTGTAGTATTTGGTCGCACCACCTGTGGATGATGCCTCATTATTAGGGCCATGGAACTTGCGGCCAACACGGTGACAGTAGTCGTCACTGGAGTGGTAAGTCTCTTTTTTTCCATCTGCGTTTCGAAGAGTAATTTCACGAGCGGCATGGCAAAGCACCAAGATACAGCTGAGGATGGCTAGAATTACAAAGAAGCGCATGACTATGATTTTGAATTGAGTTTAAATGCGGTGAGCCTGAGTGAGTGTAAGTGCAAATGTTTGAGGTGAAGATGGTGATAGGATAGCGTGTGAATTTGTAGATAATTTTTTGACCAAGACAGCAGCAGCTGAGTGGAACTTTATACCAAAACCCGAAAGCAATTGAGTAAAGTCAGACTCTAGAAAAATTGGAGAGAAGTGGGGTTTCAGAGGAGGGAGCTTTGTAGGCATACAAAGCACAATGTATCTACTTTGTGTGACTCGGATACCTTGTACCCTTTGCGTGCAAAGGTCAGTAAAGGGTACAATTGGAAAACCATTATCTCTAAAGACTACAACGACATAATAAAGAGCAAAAACTCCTTTGCTTGGCTTTTAAAATATGTTTTAAAAGAGCACCACTTTTCTTTCCCTACAAAGACTAGCGACATGTAAAAGAAGCTAAAAATAAAAGTTTTTTTCTAGTTTTTTTTTCTAGTTATTTCTATTATGCGCCTTTCGAACACTCAGTTCTCATTACAAAGAAAGAGAGAGAGAGAGAGAGAGAGCTTGGAAAAGCGTTTAGACTTTTGGTAGAACGCTCTTAGTACTTACGCTTTGTATCATACAAACCGTCCTTTGGTATTTGATCCAGCGAGATTCAAGGAATCTATGTTTTGGACAGCTAGTTTCTTTTGCACAGTCGTGACTTTAACGAAATAGGCGATGGCATATTTATTCTCATGAATCGCAAATTCGTTTTCATCCTATCTGTGTGTACAGCATGTGGGAGCTCATCAAGGTTATGTGACTCATAGACAGATGATTTGGAAGCAGTTAGTCCATGTTGGCCTCTTCGGGCGAGCGGGAGAGTGGACATACTGATTTTCTGTCCACCTATTCAGTTTGCGTCAGCTTGCATAAGTGTTGCTCTGCCGAGTGCCCTTATTCCAACCCCATATCGGCGTATATAGATGCACCCACATGGCTCAAACAGGTCATCACTTTGACTTAAGCCACACGTGTGATGGAATGAGCGAGGTGGATCTGCCAGGAAGTACCGCTGCCGATGGTCAGAATTGAAAATACGCTTCTTGACAGAAGGCATGTGTATGAGAAATAGTATTGGGCTAGTTTCGTATTATTTGTGAGATACTTTAGAATTATAAGCTACACGTAGTCGGTCCTTGTCTCATAGAGACATAGGTAGGAGCTCACCTGCTAATGATAATCAACGATATCTTTATCCTGTGTTCTTCCCAGAAATGTCTCCTGAACGGTTCTTGGGTAATAGATGAGTAGCCACAAATGTGACAGAAAAAAGTGTCCCGACTTTCAAGATTGGTATCTTGCATGTTTAGCGCAGAAATTGTTGAATAATTAGACGAGTCGTTGTAAGAGGCAATTGTTGTAGGTGATAAAAGAAAGTGGTTGACGTATTCTTACGGTATCATCAGAAAAGGAATGTGTCCTTTAAATAGGAAAATGATTATATGTGCTTTCATCCTGGTAGACTTGCGACAATAGTCAAATGTCAGGTGAGTACTCCCGCATTATCAGGCATCATGTCATATGAACACCTCAGTGCTCCTTATCAAAATATGAGCCGAAAATAAGTTCTCACCAAGCATATCGAGGTAATGAGATATTATTACCACACATTCCAATTAATATAGTGAGTACGTCCTCTTCCAGAATTGCGCATAACCACAGGTGAATCCAACTGGTCATCTTAAAGCGGCTCTTCCCTCACCAACTTCTCAATGTCCACTCAGATATATTCCACACGTAGAGCGTACAGATACTCTTATTTTTATTGAGAGTATAGATTGTCAGTAGTTTATTGTCAAGAGGTTGCAAATCTTAATAGCTGAGACGGACAGGCAGGCACGATTACGTTGTCACGAGTAATAGTTGCACTTTTTTCAGCTTATGTTCAAAAAATCAGTGTAATTCTATCTGAAGCAGTTCCCCCAAACTTCATTCCACACGTTAGGCAAGTAAACTCCTGCTTGCTATCTGGTGTAGGGGGCTTGTTTCCATAGTCTATACTCGGGTATTGTAAATGTCGCCAGAGAGAGTGGCAGATGGGTTATATAAAATGATAGACTCTAGTACTATTCGCTTAATCTAGGGATGGGTAGCCTCATCATTTTATACCAGCTTAGCGCCATCTCATAGCTCAATATTATGCCACCTTCTTAGCAGCCGTAGCGGACTCACGTTTGGCTTCCTTTACAAACAATAAACATCAATTATCTCTCTGTTCCTGGAAACTGCGGGGTTTCTTATTCATGCAATAGAGCAGCCTGATGATCCCCTGACTGTCTGCACGTGGAGCAAAGCAGATGGGCAATTGTGACATGGAGGCAAACCTCTATGCCCACCCGCACAACAACAGCGACGATACAGGTTGAATATATGTCTAATTGTTCTCATTCCTTCTCGCACAATAAGCAAGCATATGCAAAATGGCTCGTGTGCTCTATTCTATCGCTCTTTGTCTGCACACACTGTAATCACTTAGATATAGTAAACCTACAGCGGAACACTTCGAGTCAGACACATAATACAGCCATTATAAGATCTTTTTACGAGTATATTTGGTGAGATCCACGCTATTTCATAATTTGTAGGTGTAGACATGGCTTGAGTGCACAGTGGTATGTAGTACCTATGTTTGATATATTTGTGCTCATAATCGCTGTTCAGTACGTAGATTTATTGTCGATAGATTTAAAACAAAAGAAAGGAGTACGTCCTAGCTATTTGGGTGGTTTGGGGGTAGATTACTCCATTGACCATTTGAGACAGTAGCGATCATGGATTTCCAAACCTTTCTTGGTACTGAAGTCACGCCCACATCGGCCACATTTCACCCAGTTAGTATCGCTAGTAGATTTATCCATAGACCATTTGCGGCAAAGGGGAACATGTGTGTTTAAACCTTTCTCGGTTTTGTAGGCACAACCGCATAGGTCACATTTAAACATGTTGGGGCTAGGCGACTTGAGATCCTGATAGTCGCTGGACGTTAATACGGAGGCAGTTGGGCTGCTAGTGATAGTGGAGAAAGAGATGTGCACTTTTTGCAACTGCTTAAGGAGTGCCGGCGGCCTCCAGTCATTTTATGTCAGCCCAGTGCTCTTATTTAGCAATTGAAAATTTTGGAACTTGCCTATCGCCCCATGACCACCACGAAATCCACTTCACCCATCAGACATTATGATCGTAATCACTCTACACATGGATAGTACAGCATGTATCCATTGCAAGAGCTATGCCTTTGGTAGGGATGGGTGCACCTCTCACACCTTGTGCCACCCTCAGT